CAGCAAACTTTAACAAAACATTTAAAAAATGCAGACCTCTGACTCAGTGAAGGTGTCTTATGGAATTGCTGCCTTCAACTTGGCATCATGAAATAATAATAATGATGACGATAATAGTAGGAGTTTCTACCATTTCTGAACAGTTGCTGGGCTCCAGGCCTGGTGCTGTACACTTCATAGGCATTACTTCCTATTGGTCACACAACTATAAGAGGTAGTTATTACTTTCCCAATGTATAGAGGAAGAAATGGAAACTCCAGAAATGTTTAGTAACTTGCCTAAGGTCACATAGATTGCAAGTGGCAATGCAAGGTTCATGATGAGGCATCTGAACCCAGAGCCTGTGCCCCGAGCCCACTACTTATTTTCACACCCACCAGGCCAATACAGGTCTCTCTCTGTAGTGGTTGCCTCACTCCTGCCTCCCCCTGATTTTCTGCTTCTAACTTGAAGGTGGCAAATAAAGCCATAGAGCAGACACAGGTAGTTTTTGTTGTTAAATGGTCTCCTTGTTGGGATTTTAGGGAGCTTCCCTTATTCCTCCCATTCTCTGGGAAATAGGGAATTCTGGTGTTGAATCAGTAACACGGATATCTAGGCAGTTTTGATACAGCCCTTTGCTCTCTCTCTCTCCGTGTATGCACGCATGTTATAGAGGAAGGAGGGGCCACATACATGTTTTTGAAATTAAGTTAGCATGGAAAGAGAGCTCATATCCCACCATACCCAGGGAGGGTGGAGGTACTAATATTTAGAGTCTGAGGGGTAGTGGTCATGACCTGTGTGGGAAGAGGTCAAGGTAGGTCTGTTACTTCCCTGTGGGAGCTGAGCCTTCTCCCTGGAGCAGGGAAACTGTGCACCCTGAGCGCCAAATATTGATTCAAGAAAGCTTACCTCTGCCCTCCAGTAAGAAGGCAATAGGGGGCAGGTGAAAAAGATTTAAAGCAGTTTGGTTCTATTTTTTTACTTTGCTAAACTGTCTTGATTCTATTTGCGTGTTTACCTGTGTTAGTCCATCTTTCTTGAGGGGTATACCACAAGTGGTCTAATTCAGAGCCCTCATACCTTTTCCCTGGGGTCACAGGGATACTGGGGTTCATTTAATTTCTGCAGGTCAAAGAAGTCATAGATGGGTTTTCAGTTCCATTTGTTCTGGACTAGCAGTTTAGATGAACCTGATCAAAAGTTTACATTTATTTTATCAAATCAGGAAGGAGGCGTGGACTTGGGATTAATTTAGGAGGTTTCCTGAGCCCTAGGCAGTTCTGAAGAATGGAAGAAAGCACAGTGAACATGTAGAGCTCAGTATTTACAGTTGTGTCAGACACTGAGGGTTCAAGTTCAAACAAGACAGACCTTGTCCGGCTGGGCTCACAGTCCCAGTGTGAGAGAAGGAACTCCGATGATAAAACAGTTTGATTAGGACTATGATAATTTTTATTTCCTGTTTTGAGGGCTTTGAGAACATAGACTAGTATACTTCATCTAGCCTGGCAGGGACATTAGGGGAAGATCTCAGTTCAGGGGTATATCTGAGATTTTAACCTAGGACCGATGCCAAATGTTTAGAACACCACTATTCTAAGTTATTTTTTAAACAAAAGGTCATTCGATTTATTCTTTTTGTCTCTCTGAAGCACCCCTAAGAGAGATTCTTAGGGTACAATGATGTCTATATTGAATTTTACCCCAATGGCTTGCTTGGGACACGTTCTTATTATCTTGGGGACTAAGATAGTCATCAGAATGTTTGTTACTGTCATCAGACAGCCTTGGTTCCAAAACCTGGCCCAACCGCTTATTTTTGTGTGATTCTAAGCACGTGACTAAATAACTTTTAGAGCTTCTGTTTCTCCATCTGTAAAATGAGGGTGGTGATATTCACTTCTCTGGGGCTTTTGGGAGAAGTGACATGATACACGTGAAGTGCACAGCACAGTGTTAGCTACTATTAGGAAACGCCCTCAACTTTCTTCAGGCCTGCTTCCTTGAAAGACCCAACTCTACCCTTAGAGCAAGTCCTTTCATGGGAATGTACCATGCAAGTTTTGTCATGCTTTCAGCATCAGAAGTATGCTTGTGTTGCTTGGTAGGGAAAGAACTTGAAGTTATCTGGTGTTTCTCTGCTTCTCTATAATTTCTCATCCAAATGGACAGTAGCAGACACATTATGTTTCATTAATCAAAACTTGGAACTTAAAACAGTATTTGTTACTTAAAAGCCTGGCTAATTAGGACTCTTAGTCTATTTTTTCTCCTCTGTTTATACTTCTCTTTAAGGAAAAAGAAGCACAAAGATAAGGAAAGTTAGAATTTATTACTGGAGAGTTTCCCTTCAAGGGACTGGCCCATGGTTACAAGACACTATGACCCCTGGACAGCCCACCTATCCCTCTAGATCTAGTCTTGCCTGCCTGTCTCTTGTGTCTCCTGGAGCCTGGCACAGCTTCCCATGCGTAGTGGGTGTATAGTAAACATTTGTTATATGAGTAAAGACAATGCCTTTAGGCCCAGCTAGACTGATCTATTGCTGCTCTCTAGACATGCTCTGCATTTTCCTGCTTCTATTCTGTTATTTGTATTTGGATTTCCTCCTCTAGTCATGGCCCTGTGGACTTTGGGGTGGAATTATTGGTGTCTTGTCTTAATCCCTCTTATAAGGTTCTTCTTTCTTTATTTTTGAAGAAACACTGCATTTGGCACATCATACCCTAATAGTTATTGAGCACTTGCAGTGGTCTCAGTAAATGTGAGTTACCTATATTTGCTTATTTAATGTCCACACACCTTTATGAGCTAGGTACTACTATTAGCTTCATTTAATAGATGAGAAAACTGCAGCCTTAAGAAATTAAATAACCTATATCCCTAGAAAGTTTTCTGTACTCAGTGTAATTAAACTGAGTTTCTAAGACCTTTGAAGTTCACAGGCTGGTCCCAAAGGAACTGCTTCTCTGTTAGAGAGCTGTGCTACCCACCGAACTGGACTTTGAGAAGCAGGAAACATGGGCTGATAATATTCATCTTTCATTTCTAAAGAATTTCTTAAAGATTAAAAAATGGACCAATATTATTGTCTTCCAACTTCAAAACAACTTTGAGACCTAGGTCAGGTATTATGGTCCCGTTCTATGGATGAAGCCAAAGCTGGGAAAGAAGTGACTGTAAGAGGTGGAGCTAGGACTTGAACCCAGGTCTTCTGACTCTTAGCCAAAGCTTTTCACTACATTCTCCCTTAATATATTAAGAACAAAGCAAAACAAATAAAAAGTCCCCCAGAAAACCAACAAAAAGTGTTAAAGGTACAAGCCGATTCTTACAGAGGTGTATTTCTGGGAGCAGATTGGGTTCTTTCCGGGAAGCAGCTGGGAAGAGGGCTTACTTGAGAACAGTCTCCTGGGGAACTCCTATTTCCCAGGAAATGGAGTTGGTCAGAGCATCCTTTTCCTGTCCCCCCCCCCCCATCTTGTTGTTTCTTGAGTGTTGCTAACAGAAAGAGGACTCTAGCCTCCCAACATTGGGGGCTTAGTCCTGTTTCTTCAGACGACAAGGGGGAAGGGAAGTTTTTCTCTTTGCCCCCTCTCTTTGTCTCTTAAGGTGATGGTGCAGGGTTGTGAGAGAACTGAAAAAGGAGTAAGGACTTTGCCAAATGACAAAGGATCCTGTCATCTTCAGGACCTGCTGCACCTGAAACTGTCAGCCCTTAGGCCAGTTCACCTTTGCATAGCTTGCAAAACACTTTCACAATTCCTTTCCCACCAGAGCACGGGTGGGAGACAAGACAAGTGGTTTTATCCTCATTTCACAGATGAGGATAGTGAGGCCTAGGGAGGTGATGCCATTGGCTCAAGTACACAATTTTTTTTTATCCTCACCTGAGGACATTTTTGCATTCATTTTCAAATAGAGCGGAAGGGAGAGAGGGAAGGGGAGAGAGAGAGAGAGAGAGAGAGAGAGAGAGAGAGAGAGAGAAACATCGATGTGAGAGAGACACATTGACTGGTTGCTACCCACACGACCCCAACAGGGGCTGGGGACAACTGCAACCGACGTACATGCCCCTAGCGGGAACCAAACCCAGGACACTCTGGTCTCTTGGCCGATGCTCTAACTGCTGAGCCAAACTGGCCAGGGCTCAAGGACACAATTTGTATATGGCAAGGCCAGGATTTGAATCTAGGTTCCTTCTTTCTGAAATGCATGCTCTTTCACTGACATTTCACTGCCTCTGCAGTAGAAAGATGATGGCCTGGGCAAGTGTCAGGGTAGGAGTTGTCCCTGGCCTTTCCCTGTGTGGATCTTAAGCCCATCTTGTTTTAGCTGTCCCCAAATTTCCCTCCATTTTAACAGCCTCCACAGGATGGCTGTCGTGGTTTGCTCCCAGTGGTGGTAGGGCCCACTGTTGCCACCACACTGGAATGGATGTTCAGTTGAGCATCCTTGTGAACCAGAGACTCACTATAGTAGACTTGACTTTGGACAAGAAAGGATGAGACCTTCTGCCAGCCTTCTAATGTTAATTTTTCTACCAGAACCCCAGAGACTTCCAGCCACACAGCAGTTCTGACCCACTTTTGTTTGGCTGGGTTGCAAGGGGGCGCTGTCTGCAACTCTGCCACCTTGCGCCTTGACGGGAAATGAGCTCAGTTAAGTAGGCAGGTCCCAGTGAGGCTTTTCTGTAACACCAATATTAATCTCATGGAGTATGGAAAAAAATATCCTCGTATCTCTCTGCCCCATTTTCATGTGTTGATGTTCAGGACAGAGGATCACACGGGGATGCTTTTGCTGCTGAATTAAAAGGCTAGTTTCCCTCCAACCAGGATGTGTTGTCTTTCTCTCTGCCTCTGTCTCACCCTCTGCTCCCCCACCTCCCCCCAAAGCCTCTAGGACTCCACTCTGAATCCCACATATTGTTATGGCCTTGGTTCATGGAAGGGCAGGAGTGTTTTATAACTTTGTTTTCTGAACTTCTGCCTTTTTTTTTTTTTTGGAACAGAGCAGCACTTTCCAGAGGTGATGCTGGGGGAAGAATTTCTTAGCCTAAGTCTGGACCAGGTGTGCAGCTTGATATCCAGTGACAAGCTGACTGTTTCTTCAGAAGAGAAGGTATGATGTGGCCCCTTGGTGAAACAGGAGTCTCATGTGGGACGGACTTGAGGTTTAGGAAGACCTTTTCTGAGAGCTTATTTTTTTGTCTCTTTGAAGAAAAGAAAAGACAGGCCTTCTGATCCTTGACCACTAATTTCACTTTTTGGATCCTTTAAAGAAGAAATAATGGTGGTGATGATGGTGGTGACAGAGCTGCCTTCATTTACTGAACATTTATAGTTTGCCAAGCACTTTGCTAAACACTTTATGTTCTTCATTTCCCCGAGCCTTCACCACAGCCCTGTGAAGCAGGCATTGCTGTGGTCCCCACATTACAGATGAGGCAAAGTGAGACTCAGGAGTTAATTGGCTTATCCAAGGTCACTTGGTCACTGCAGAGCTGGTGGCTTCCTGTCACCTGGCTTTTTGGAAAATTTATCTTTATTGTTGAAAGTAGATGTCCGTCCTTTTTTTTACCCCCAATTGACCCCCACTGCTCCCTGCTTCTGCCCTCTACCTTCACTGCACTATTGTCTATGTCCAAAGGTTGTGCATATATGCAAATAACTTCTTTAGTGTATCTCTTCCTGCCCCCCCCCCTTCCTCTGAGGTTTGTCAGTCTGTTCCCTGCTTCCATGCTTCTGGATCTTTTTTTTAAAATTTTTATTCTCACCGAAGGACACTTTTCCATTTTTTTGCTCAGATAGAGTGGGAGGGAGAGAGAGAGAGAGAAACATCGACGTGAAAGAAACACATCGAGTGGCTGCCACCCGCACGACCAACCTGGGCTGGGGACAAACTGCAACCGAGGTACGCGCCCTTAGCGGGAACTGAACCTAGGTCTCTCTGCACCGTAGGCCAACGCTGTAACTGCTGAGCCAAACTGGCCAGGGCCTTCTGGATCTTTTCTGTTTGTCAGTTATTTTTGTTCATTAGATTCCACAAATAAGTGAGATCATGTGATACTTGTCTTTCTCTGACTGGCTTATTTCACTTACTGTCCCACATGGCCTCTTATGAGTATCATTGAGCATTTATGCCAGAGCAGACCTTTTGGGAACATCTATACCAACAGGGGTTTGGAATTCTCTGATGATGAAACTGAAGCCCAGAGAGGGACAGGAACTGCTGAAAGTCACACAGTCAGTATCTGTGCAAGAACTAAACTCAGGGCTCTTGACACCCAATCTCCTTACTTACTGACCAACCACTTCCTTTTTGCTGGGAGCTTGACTTCTGCCCACTGCTCTATCTGACCTGTGACTGCTCATCTTTCCTACTTCTAGGCCTTCCCTCTCACTGACCCTCTGATTGGAGTATCTCCCGGTCCATCTTTCACTGGTTAAATTCCAAACCAGTTCAGATTCTTCTACTACCAGGAAATGTAGTCTTTTGCACTGAAAATAACATAAGCTTTGGTGTTGGCCAGCTGGCTCCAAATCTCATCTCTAGTATTTACAAATTACTTGTGTGACCTTGGGTAAGATACTTTGCTTCTCTATCTGTTTCCTTATCTATAAAGTGAAGATACTAATAGAATGTATTCCATAGGGCATATGTGGAAATTAAATAGGATAAGGTTTGTAAAATGCCTGGTATCATATCTGGGACCTAGTAGGTGTTCAATCAGTGTTAGTTGAGTTTATTATTGATCTTGTATCTGAAATTAAGCCCTTTGTATTCTGTGTTCCAAAATGCCACTCACGTTGTTGTTTTTCATTGTAGTTAGCTCTGACCCTGTCTGTCTTCCTTCCCTGAGCTGTGAGTTCCTTGATGGCAGGGGCCACTTTTTATTGATCTCTGTAGCTTCAGAGATGTTCAATACATGTTTCTTGAATTGTCCTAGTTCACTCCTAGTGTCCAAACTTGAGGTCTTTGCCTGAGGGAATATTTAAGGAGAAGCCCTTGAAAAGGATTTTACGTTGGAGATAAGACTGAGTCCAGAAGCATGTGTCCAAAAAATGAGGTAAAATTCACAAGCCCCTGCCTGTTGTCCTGCAGAAGTTTAATTAAGAAGAAAACCAGTTGTTTATTGAACTGTGAGCTGCCTTGAAACTTCAGAGAAGGTGGCTGGCACAATAATCTATACTCTTCTTTAGGCTCAGGGAGGCCTCTGCTTCCACTAACTGGTGTGAAACAGCACCTCTGGGGAAAATAATGCCTCTGGCCAGGCCAAAGGCTCCTTCCTGCCCCAGCCTCAGCTACAGAGTGAACTCCCTCTCTTCTTGCCAAGCCTGTTTAATGTCTGTCTGGCTTGTGCTACTAAATTGGCACAGACTGAACTAATTAATTGATTGGCTATGTGAATGTTGGGGCAGTTGGTCAGTTTGGGCCTGCTTGAGCATGTTTTCAAAGTGTAGTTTGAAAAAATGGAAGCTGTCATAATACAGCAGGATTTGGATCAACTTGGAGGTATTTGGGTTGAGAAGGGGAACCCTGCTATCTTGAATTCATGCTGGCTAATCCTGCTCTGGGGTCATAGTAAGTTTTCTTCAGGTAAGGACTTACTGTGCCAGGGCAAGGGTGGAGCAGGGCTGCTAGCTGGGACAGGCAACTTGGACTTTGGACTCAGGCAGATACTGACTGTATGACCTTGAAAAGTCACTGATCTGTTTGAACCTTAGTTTTCTTACATGTAAAATGGGAATACTAAGAGTACCTCCCTTATAGAGTTGTCATGAGGATTAGACATAATGGGTATAAAACAGTAAATATAGTGTGTGGCAGGTGCTCAATAAATTGAATTTGTCATTGTGATTACCATAATTTTGAAGCACTATTCATAATGGTAAAATAAACCATGAAATTAATTGCCTATTTCCAGGAACAAAGAAGCATGGCATTAAATCTACACCCTTGAAAATTGTCGATAGTGACTATTTATTTATTCATATGCTTGCATATGAGTTACTTGTACTGTATAATCAGTGTTTGGAGTATAGGAATTTTTCACATTAATGAAGTTGTGTATCATATTTGGTTCTCAGAAGTTTTGTGTAACTTCAGAATTATGTGCCGCTTTTCAGAAAGTAGAATACTCGTGATCTTGATCCCTTTGGTACTTTTAAGGTTGGCAGTACAATTTTGAGGCTTATCAAAGTTTAGTGGGATTTGGCCTACATTTTCTCTTTGGTGAAACCCATAGTTTTATTTCCCCTTAATTAAGCACATGTTGCTGGAAGTTAAATGTCTGGAACCTCTGACAATTAGATGTTCATCATTTGGATGCTAGCCTTTTAGGCTTTGAAAATTCTGTAATCTGTTTCAGGAGATTTGGTGATTTCTACTCCCTTTAATTCCATTGCATATCATAGGCAATTTCTAGCATGCACAATAGCTTTTTCTTTCAACATTACATTATAGGGAACTGATTGGAGTGTATTTGAAGTAAGATCAGGGATCTTAATTTAAGCTAAAATTCAGTTGCATTTAATGTTAACATTTGCACAAAACCCAGCTGAGTAATCATATAACCCATATTCAACTAAATCCACACTTAAACAACAATATTAACTATATCATTATTTACCTCTTGTCTATAGCATACAGGTTTCCTTATGAAGCCACATTTCAGATATTAAAATGTGAAAAAATATACATCTTAAAATAGAGGAAATGTGATATTTTAGTATTGATGATGGTTAGAAATGACAATGGCTGAGCCCAGGCAGTTTGCTCATTGGGAGTTTGAAGGTATAGGTTTTATATTTAGAGTGGCTGAATTTAAATCCTGGCTCTACTTCTTTGACAAGCTGAGTGACCTTGGGCAAGTTATTTACCTACCACCAAAATGTATGCACCGAATATAGTCATGGATTTTGTCAATCTTAAGGTAACTGCTAAAGTGGTATTGGGTTCATGGTATACACACACACACAAAATATTTGTTGAATGAATGAATGAAAAACCTCTTTAAGTCTCAGTTTCCTCATCTATAAAAGGAGAATAATAATATACACATCTTATAGAGTTTTTTTGAGGATCAAATCAGATAATACATAAAAAATGCTTAGCACATAGGAAGTGTTCATTATTATAAGATGTGATTATTACTGCTATTAGTACTATTAGTAGTACTGCTACTACTACTACTAACTGTTGAGTGGGGCTTTTCTCAAGGGGAAGCTCTTCACAGAGCCCATATTGATCTGGGTGGTTGTGTGACCTGGAGCTTGGTGCCTAGCAGGGGCAGAGAGGGGTAGTGGCCTCTTGGTCCCCAGTGTACCCAGTACCCTCAGCCCTGTTTGGGCTTTTCCCATGGCTCAGATACTGTTCTTCTTCCATCATCACTTATTTTTGCCTATGCCTTATATCCTCTGCTGTACTCATATTCTTTGAGGGCTGTAAGGGTACCTTTGCCTTCTTTGTGTCACTCACAGTGCCTGACACAGAGCCCCCAGAGATCTGAGCAGACATTTTATGAGAGAACAAAGAAGCTGATTGAGGCTGGACTCTTCCCTGAGCCAGCTGAAGTTATGGGAATAATTTTAATATTTTCCCAGATAATAAGGAAAAATATAGGAACTAGAGGTTAGAGGAGGGCATGGATCTTTGCCCTTATTTATCTTTTTTTTCCTTCATGTAGTTTTTGTTTTAAACATTTTATTATTTGAGAGAGGACGAAAGGATCTGGTAGGAGTCACAAAATCATTAGTTCTTTGGATAGGACCTTCTCCCTCCACCCCCACTCCAAGACAGTGGGAAGATCGAGGAACAAGCACCTTCCAGTCACTTGATTCTTCTGCATGGAGTGTGTCGCTAGGCCAGAACTAAGCCTGTGAACAGAAAGCCTGTTTCTTCTATTCCCCTTTGAGACTTTCACCATGGACAGCCTCTATGACCCAGGGGCAGGGTAAACAACCTTCTGGGACAAACTTAGTCCAAGGATTGGAGAGATGACTTCTGAGTTCTAGTTCAGTTTTGCCACTGAATTGCTGGTTACTGGACTTGTGTGAATCTTTGCTTTCTTAGCTGATACATATGTTGCTACCCTCAAAAATTCCATGTATTATGAAATA